GTCCCCCCCCCCCCCCCCCCCCCCCGACGAAACCGGTCGAACAGTCAATAATCTCGCCTAGGGCTTCGGTATATTTTCCTTTATAGCCTATTCTACTTTGAGCCCTTTATCTGCCTGGCATTTTATAATTGTTAAGTGATTATCGATACAGTATACATATATAATACTGTACATGTCATTTTCTTCCCGAATTCCAATGATTTTGCGTTCCCGAAAGAACAGGAGGCAGGATTCTGGTTGAGGAACTTGGACTACCTTCAAACCATGGCGAGGAACGCCGAGGAGAGACGCATTTATTTCATCGTCGCCTGGTTCTTCGTCGCCCTCGCGGCCCTCTGCATCATCCTCATCGTCATCATCTGCTGTGTCGCTTGCGCCTGGCGGAGGCGTCGCAGCTACCGCAGCGACCGCAAGCCCGTCGTCCCGCTCTCGGGCTCCGACCTCGAAAGGTGATGGGATGTTTCTTCTGGGAGGATGGGGTGACGTCAGCACGGGCGAGGAAACTGATTGGTCGCTTCCGGCGTCGGATTCGGATGGACTCCATCGCGCAGCAAAAGACGTCGACATCCACGAGCGTTTGGATTGGTCGCTTGCAACGCGAAGTTCCAACGGAGCCAATCAGATTCTCACTGGGCACAGACGCACGCCCCGATAGGTCCATGCGACTTCCGATGGAACCAATCAGATCGTGCTTCCTAGCTCACGTCACTTCAGAGTCCCACGACTGGGAAATTTGAGGGTGAAATCGGTGACGGGTGTGATGAGGTCCTCGATGTCCGTTTCTCCTTGGTGCAGGGCGTCGTTATGACGGCGGAGGCTGACGTGACGAGAGACAGAGAGACTCAGGCGGAGTCGATCCGACAAAGGCCATTCGTGTACTCAGGAAGATTTCGCGACTCGACCCACTACTTCCCCGACGACATGCCAAATTCATTTTTTTTTCTTACTCGATTCTTTTTAGAGCACGGTTACCGAAGAATAAAATGCTAGTTTTTCGTAAAGGACGTCGCACTTATTGCATCCTCTGCCGGTTTCACCCCATAATTTCATCATGCGGGACACCGATTTAATAATTATCAATCAAATTTCATCAGAACAATTTTAAACGTTTCTCTCTTGCCGATAATTTCTCTATTAATGTGCTTCCCGCTGTGTCTCACCTCGTAAAGCCAAGTGACAAAACCTGATTAGAGCGATGGAAGAGGAAACGAAAGTTTTCCTTCCTTAGGATGAGGCGGAAGTACGACGACGTGTCGATGGGGGCGTCGAGCAACGGGAATCCGGTCGTGCAGGAGCCATCCCGACTCCAGGTCGACATCCCCGGTAATTGTTCCCGGAACGGGGTCTCCACGAATCCCGTCTACGCCAGGTCGTGACAGTTCCCGAGAGGACGCAGCGACGTCCGGACGGAGAGGGAATCCGATCTCTTAAAGCTGTCACACGCACTTCAGCGCAGACCTTCGAGTCGGAAATAAATGAAATAAATTTTGTCTTACCGATGAAGAATCATTAATTTCAGATTGACACTGACAACTATTTCCAGCCTGAACGGCTCATGGTCTGAATGCATAGAGATAAAATGAACATTAAAAAAATTTCATTGAAAGCATAAACTAATGTGCAAAGTAATACGTAATAATAAGTACACATATAAAAATTTATAAATAAAAAATCATATAAATTACAAGAGAAATAAAGAATGAACACGGTGATAACGGGATGCAGTTGCAGGTCCAGAGCCGAGAAGAGAGGAGTCGAGGCCAACCTTCAGCACGTTTCGTCCCCACGACTCGGACGGATACGAACCGATCGGAGACGGGAGACCGATCGGGAACGGGAGAGCGATTGGGGACGGGGGAACCATCCACTGGTGCTCGGTGTGCGAGAGACCCATCCCCAGGGGGACGGGGATGTCCCAGGTGGATTGCCCCGTCTGCGTCACGCATCTCAGGCCGTTTGTCCGGGGTACGACGGTCTGAGGGCGTATTCGATTTTGTCTAGTGTTCCGGGTGTATTCGATTCGTGTGATCGGGGCTTATTCGATCGTTCGTTTCGTCGGTCGGGATTTCGTTAGAAGGGTTGGGAAATTCTTGGGAGTTTGTTTATTCGTAGGTGCGACGAAACGGTGCGAAGAGTAGTCTAGGTTGCAATGTAGAGCGAGACCGAACCCGATCGCTCTGTATTTTTCGTCTGATTATCTTTATAGGGACCATCTTAATCTCATTGAATCCTGAATCTCATTTCATTATTTCATCGGAAATGTGGAAACTCAAGAAACTTTCAGTTCGCATTCCACAATTGCGAGTCCTGAGAGCGAAGGATGGATGCTCGCCTGCCCTGTGAGTGCCTCCCCGCCTCGAGGGAAGGCTGGAAGATCTCATGTCGCTGCGTTACTCACCCGGTTACTTCTATTTAATCGCTAAATGTTTTGTATAAGACATTCTTTTTGAATACATTATTTTCTATTACAGAAGGAATTGGGCGTCTTGATTGATTCCACGTGAATCGAACCGATAGTCGAATTCCGTGTTCATATGTGTATGAACAGATTCTAAAACAGAAATCCTTCTGAAAGTTCCTTTAGTTCTTTCGCGTAAGGAGAGATGTCGCTTCATGCACTTTGCTCGATTTCTTTGTTGTGATTGGTTGTGAAGATAACTTTTATGCTCAACTTCTAAGACAATTGCTTAAAAATAATAATAAAATAATAATGAGGCGCTTGCCAAGAGATGAAAAAATTTATTGGTCCTTTGCTGATAACCGGTTTCGGCGCAATGTTCTTGAAGTCGCCGATTGTGTTTGCTGTTGTGATGAGCATTTCATCATACTGGGTGATTATTTGATGCATGGAATTGATTGTTTGATTTTAATGCTTCAAAAGCCTCTGAAGGTAAGTAAAATATTAATTGGGAGGAATAATTAGTAATTGCTGATTCCTAAAATTCTCAAGTTTGGCGCTTAAATGTTTAAAAAACCCTGTTTTCTGTGGAAAAAAAATCGCAGAAGTTTTTTCAACTGAGTAAGATTGAAAAAGCAACACGACCACTCGAAAATATTCCACTTGTCTGTGCTTAGTATTGAATGTGGCTCGTATAAGAACTAGGCCTACCATCGTCGAGTTGCGAAGCACCTGCAGGCACCGAAAACACAGGGAGCAACTAGCTCGTGAATCCGCTCCCGGCAACGCGCGAGCTGGCTGGGGAGTGGATGCGGGCTTCTTCGACTCGATTGCTTGAGTGAGCTGTCCTTGAGGCCGAGCGCCTCAGGCGTTTTATTTTGCTTCTGCGGGTGGGTGTGGAGAGGTCAAAGACACCTTGGTCACTCGCAGATGAAATTCCCTGGAGTCGAAGGCGCTCGATGTACAGAATGTAACGACTGCAGTAAGGGATCGGAATTTAGTCCGACATGCCGAAAGAGCAAAACTTTCCTTAACTCCATGGAAGGCTAACGTGGCAGGTGCGAACGGACCAACCCAGCAGACGCCAGTCGTGACGTCAGCATTATTCCCGACGGCAACACGCTTTCTGTCCGCATGGCGGGTGTGCGTGAACTTGCAGGATTAAGGAGCGTTCGCGTTAAGGTGAATTTTCGGGAACGGTTGTTTCTTGGATAAAAACAAGGAATAGCTGCACATACGCAACATTGGTGTCGTGGCATTTTCTAGGAGTGAAAAATGGACAGAAATTCAAATCTCGCTTTTTGGGGCTTATTAGCCCAAAAGTCATGGAATTTCAGGGCTAATTTACGTCTAACTTTAGGCCTACTATAGGTCAATGCCACAGGCTTAGAACAGTGAAAAACCTTAAACCTATAGGCCTAATGTTTTATGTTAAGTTGGCCTTGCCGTATTCTAATGCGTGTTTCCCTTTGGACGTTATGGGCATTCCTCAAGGACAAGGAAGGTCAGACGCGAACAGTCTGACGTGAGGGCCTGACTTCGTGTGTCGTGTGTCATCAGGATGTCTCGTTGTGGGCCTACACCGCTGGCCCTGCTGCGGATGCAGGTATGTTTGGGCCTAACGTTAGACTTTGCGAAATTAGGGCTGCCCAGTGTTTGGTTTTCACCCTTAATTGCCTTGGATGACCATCTGGCCATTGGTTCTGCCTGAAAAATATGCCAAAGGAATCAGTTATCTATGCACTCATGAGTAGGTCTCACTACTTTCTACAAAGTAAGGATTCACACCTGAAAAGCTGAGTTTGGAGAGTGAAGTAGTTTTTTTTTGTTGTGGTTATGAATTGTATTTTCTCCCCTGAACTTCCAGGCCAACTGCTGCATTCACCATCATATCATTCACCTGAAAATTTTCTCAGACTGCATTCTATCTGGGTTAAGAAAGTACAATGAGCCCCATTGAATTCATCTGGAAAGTATTAAAATCCTGGACTTCAAAACTATCAGTATACTTGCATGTTAAAGTGGGAGTTTCACAGGTGTGTGAAAGCTGGCAAGTTGGACAAAATGGTTTTACTGCCAAATTTAGAGATGATGGGATGTAAGGTGTATTGACAGGTACACCATAACTTCAGGCTTAAGAGGGAATTACTGCATACTTGAGTTTTGAGATTCCAATCAATGCTCATCATATAACTGAGGTTATGAATATTACAGACAGTACTGCAGGACTCTCACACATAGGCCTATCAGAAGATGTTGTTGCTTTATACGTGATTAGCAAAATTTATTATGGGAACTTTCTCATCAAAAGGAGGGCAATTGTCAGAATTCCTCCCTTTCCCTCAGAACCTCATTGCCGGAGGATAAACTGAATATTGTGAAGCTTCCCTGATATAACAGCAGATTTATGCCTAAATTTCCTTTAGGCAGTGGTGCAACCAGCTCTAAAGTTTGGAGGAGGGGGTTCGAAGTTCACATGACCTGTCTTTAAAATGTCTCAGAATGCAAGGGGTTATCAAATCATCGGGAGAGATATGCTCGACAAAAACGCGAAACAGCGCGAACACAAAGAAAGTAAATGAAACAAGGAAAATTATTAAATGGTGGAAACAGAATTTGGACACTAAGGGTGACATGCACCAGATTCGTTTAACTTTAAACTGATTCATTTTCATAATGGAATAAGTTTATCTCAGTTAAACTGATTCCAGGAACCATAGTGAGATCAGATTAGTTAAGCTTAAACGGATCTGGTGCATGTCACCCTAAATGACATTCAATATCTGAAAAAGCTTAAAATTAACAATTAATTTCAGGACTCAGCTCAAATATCACAGCACAGATGTGCAACTGGAAATTCATTAACCGGTACGATTCACGCCTTTTATTTGAATTGTTGTCTTTGCGTTTTTAGAAAAAAATTTAGTAGTGACTCGTGTGCAGGACGTTTACTTGACTGGCTCACTTTACTAAAGTGAGTTACTACATGTAACTGATGTGACCTTCACGTTTCACTGCCTATCTTTGTGTCTTTCAAGCCTTGCTCACACATAGTTTGCTCATGATATCTTTCTGTGTCCCCCACCCTCGGGGAGGAGGGATGGAGATGATGGGATGAAGTAGAGATGATACCATCATGAGCAGGGGTTTGGGGGGGGTTCAGATCCCCTGATCCCCCCTCCCCTTGGTTGTGCCCCTGCCTTTAGGCCATCTTGGCTGCCATGGTAGTGGAGCCCATTTAGTCAGCTTATTTTATTAATGGAAATGTTGCTTAGGGGAAGAGTCTGGGGTTCATCCCCCTCATTGTGACCTCCATCCTCACCCCTGAATGCTTCTTGTTGCCATCTGCCCTTCCAGCCAGCAAATTTTGTGTTAATAACCCCCCTGCTCAAACCTTTCACCCATAGATCTCTCCCCATTGAAATCCACAATGCATCACTGCTGTCAGTTCAAGGAAATTCAGATGGAATATGTGGATTGAGGAGACTAATGCAAATAGTGGGAAATTTCCCCCCTCCCTTATTGCACCTTGGGGTTTGTTGCTGAGAGTTTGAGACCCTCTGCCCCTGCAAAGATTTAGGATTTGATCAGCTAAAATTTATGGCACTGGATCCCATGAGTTTTGCATTCCTATTGCTTTCACAAGCACGTAATTGTTTTTATCATGCTTTCCTCCATGTAATAAAATTCAATATTTGTTAAAAGAAGTGTTCCTATCAATACTTGTCAAAGCTGTTTTTACTTGCAAATGTTCAAATGCTACTATAGGCTGAGTTCACTGCTTCATATTTTACTAATCTGTTTAGTGAATCTCACTCCCCCTGCCCCACTATCTATTTGAGTTTAGAATAGGGTGACCAGACATCCCAGCTTTTCACACTCTGTCCCGGTTTAAATTTTCCTTTCTACCCTGGTGTCCTGTTTTTTGTTGTTTGTTTGTTTTCCAATTGCAGGGAATAACATTCTGCATTTTCTTGAAAATGTCCCAGTATTTCATGAAAAAAATATGGTCACCCTAGTTTGGAATCCACAGCCTGATGTATCCAAACAAGGATTCTGTTTCTTAGCTGGTGTCCATTATTGCCCACAGATTTATAGCAGTCAGAAAGTTTCCTTTCTGATGGAGAGTTAAATGAGATTATGAAGTTGATTCCTACTGGGTGGACAAGTATATGATTTTTTTTTTAAATTGAAACTGCAATATTTGAAATTTCATGAAATGTGCTAAGTAATCTATTTATTAGGCAGTTGAAAGGACAAGAATAAGCAAGCAAAAGAACTGCATGAAAGTTTATCACTTCTGAATCAAGATATGTGAGGCTGAAATTTAGACTCAGTAATATCTTCAGTAAATATAAATGTGACTAAGACATGCAAGTGTACTGTACTCCACATAGCATACCTTTGGGCATTTTGCAAGATTCTTGACACCTGTATTCTCTCTAATTATTTTTTTTACTCCTATGTAATATTGCTGAGAAACATCAGCAGTGTAATGTAGAGAAGATTTATACTCCTCAGCAAGAAACCCTGGGATCCTTATGGTATTCAAGTGCTTGTTGTAGCTTGGTAGCTACTGCTATACATTTTGATAGCATCAGTTTTGTCTTTCTATGTTATACTATAGAATTGGGTCTGTTTTCATGTGATTTTTCAGGAAAATCACATCTGTTTTTTCCTATTTTTCACTGCTTGAAGAATCTTTCCTTTTGGCTGTTAACCATTTCATGCTTGATATCCACTGTAATGGAGGGCAGTGAGTTTAACTATGATGATGGCTTTTCAGCCACAGTACATATACCTTGAAACTTTTGGTGCATGCAGTTCACTCCAAGGCACATAATCTATTCTATGTTGCCTTCCAGCAGCAGAACATGTGACTACAACAGCAGAGTACCTCCTCTAACATCAGACAAAAAAAGCTTATTTTTGTTTTGCTATAGGAATATATGCACAAAAGTGTTTGTACTACCAGAAAGTCACATCTTGGCATATTAACTTTCTTCTGAAACCCATAATCTAGGCATAAAATGGAATGCAAAGACCCTGAGTTGAATGATAGTGTCAGTGTTGGTTACAAAAAGCTCAATGCCTTTCCTTTAGTGTTCTAGTAAATCCAGTAAATTGAATAATTACTTCTTTTGGCTTCCAACTTCTCTTGGATCAAGAGAAAAAGTAGGCTTGAATTTTGTTGAAGCAAAAGGACTTGGCATGTAGTGGCTCCATGGTAATGATGGTAATTATCACCTGTGGTACCAGTACCACTTCTTTGGGTTATGTCATATGTCTATGGCATTATTCTCATGTGGGATTTCTCAGCCTTTTTTTTGTGTCAATTTCCCCCTCCTCCCCTCATACTTGAATTCTATTGTCACCATTAGATTATGGGATGTGGCTGATTTTCTTGTAATGCAAGTAACCTGTGAAATATATCAATATGAATATAAAATAATTAAGTATTTTGTGACTCATGAATAAAGTTTTAAAATTTGTATCATTTCCAAGTGGATGTTTTCGAGGTAATAAAGTCAGAAAAATCTTGAGAATGCATTCATAGCCGCCAGTCTACCTAGTACAGTTTTAATTGAAAATGATTAAATGTAGATGCAAGCCAAACTTGATTTGCGGAGGTAAACTTACAACAGCGGCTTCATTGAAAGTGGGGAAGAGGTGTTTTTTTTTTATCGAAGTCAGAGCAGAGAATCCTGTTTCACACAGATATTTGATAGCGAAGGGAAGCAACGCCTGTGTCGCCTTCTTTACAAGGAGGTATTTTTTGAATTGAGAGTAAGGTGGAAGGAGAAGGAAGGAGGGGAGGCCCGCAGGTAAAAGTGTGGAAGGGCCGAGCTAATTCGGTTTCTCAGGATTGACCCATGCGAATATAGCTTTCTTTATCGTGGGAAACTTGTCGCAACCCAGAGTTGGGACCGCTGGTTTACAGTGCTATGAGGCTGTCTGAAATATCTATGCTAGATCTAAGTAAAGGAAATTGTTGAGTTGGAAGCTTTGCCACCTTCATGTGAAAGGGACAACTGCCGTAGGCATGGCGATTCAAATGAGTAAGCAGAAGTGACCTGATTGAGAGCACGATAGATGAATTCACTTGAGGCACGTCCAGGAAATGAATTATTCCGGGGAGGGTGGAAAGAGAGATGGGGAGTGGGAGGGATACGTGAGGAGCTGTGTTATCCTCTGGGAGGCTGGCTGGCATTCACGGATGCAGTGACCTTGAGGAGGAGCCAAGATATCGTGCTATGTGTGATCTATGCACTTATCGACCTTCACGTCTCCCTGTCGCGTCTTCCCTCTGCTGCGAGAGAGGTGGTTGTGCGGGAGAAGGCCCTGTCGGTTGTTGCAAGGTGGGAGCGTTTTGCTTTTATCCTGATTGCGTGGGAGTCAGGGATTCGCGGATTCGTGCTGTGACGTGCAAATGCTTGGCATTTTTCCTATGCCGCGTCTGCGTCGTCTTCCTAAAGGACGAAGCGGTGGAGACCGTGGCTCATTAGCTCAATATCTTGTATTCGTGTATCGTCCGCTCATACCACACTGGGTGTGGAGACCCTTGTTTGCGGGCAGGGGTTGTTGAGAACATAGAAGGAATTTGTTGTTTGACCAGCGGCGATAGTTTCGATGAAATTCTCGATATAAATACACTTTGCATATTTATGTCGGGATTTTCTGCTGAAGTCGAACATCTCAACTGTGAAGGAAATATTTCGAGAAAAAGTATGTCGTTTCATTCTTAGAAATACGTTCAGTCTCGCATTAGGCAAGATGGTAAATTATTTTCCCACGTTCTTCCTTGATGTCAGCTTCCAACCCTCAATGAATGTACGGCCACTGAGGAAAAAACTTTAGTCATGAAAGCCCATAAGCTTCCTCCAGAAAAGGTCTCCATTTCTTAATAATAAAAACTAGCTGGTAGGAGCTGTTTCATATACCATAAACATTCACGTATTTGTATTTAAGGTCAATGGAATTTTGTTTAAAAAAATTTTAATGAAACACAGCTAGAATTTTCAACGGCCATATTACGAATAAAAAATATTGCGTGCGCCCCGCCATTCCCCCCCGCCCCCTCCAGGTTTGGTTCTATAACATTAAAATGGGACAATTTGTAAGAATTCGAAACTTTCCTGTATCAGATGGAGGACGGAAGAAGCTTCCCATCCTTTTAGATTTCAAATTTCCCAATTTAGTTCCTGAGTTTAATTTTTATTGGACTGACAGATCGGGCCGGCAGCTCGGTTCGGAATCGAGTTTCCTGTTAGGTGCAGGGGAATACGCTATCAGAAGGAATTTTTTTTTGCAAAAAAGGGCACCTCGTTCCGTCAGCGCTCACACGATCACGTCATTAAATGACGTCACCCTTGGGCAAGCAGTTGGCAGCGGAACGTAGTGAACTATTAGAACAGGAACACGAACGTGACGTTATGGGAAAATTGATGCGTCAGCAGCGCCGCTTAGAAAGAGGGCGAACCCAGAGACCCCGAGTTCTAAACTCAGAGGCCTTAGTGGGTTGGCGCGATCGGCCCGACACGACCCAAGGGGGGTGGAGGGGGGGGGGGGGGGGGGGGGGCCGTAAAGTTGGGTGCCTTAGTGGGTTGGCGCGATCGGCCCGACACGACCCAAGGGGGGGGGGGGATCCGTAAAGTTCGGTCAGGCGATGGAGTTTTGGGTCCGGTAGGACCATGATTCGAATCGGACCGATCGGGTCGGTTTCGGGAAAGTTGACCCGCGCAAGCCTCAGGCGAAAAGACAGGAAGACGTAACCCGTGAAATATTCGCGTGTAATTGTGGCAATTGGAATTCAGTCGAATAGCATTCAATGAGGCATTTCGCAGGATTTTTTGAACCGCCAAATTTTGGGTCATTAATAAAGAGATGGAGCGTGAAATTCTTCCGTCATCAGAAGCCACCAATTGACTTTGAATCCAAAAAGAAACCCTTGCCCCTGTGCCTATAAAGAAATTATTTAGAGAGATCCTCCGACGGAGTGAGACGAGTCTCACTCGAATGGATGATTTGGAGCTCCGCAGGGAATGGGGATGGGTTCCATCAGGCAGACGCGACCGGCGGATCGGTTGGCAATCGGGTTTCATGTGGGTGCAGGCGAATACGCTAGAATACGCTCAGATGAGTCTTTTTTTTTCTAGCTGTTTACAGCTGCTGGCAATAAGGACGCCTCGTTCCGTCAGCGCTCGATGCGATGCGTCGAGTAGTCGGGTAGGACCACGACTCGAATCGGGCCGATCGAAAGAGTCGACCCGTGCAGGCCTCCGGCGGACAGATGGGAGTACTTCGGCTGTTATTATAAAGATATTAAATCCAGGAATTTATTGTCGACGGAGACCTAGGCCTGGGACAGCCTCAGAGCGGTCCTAACTCACCAGATTTCCCAGTGGCGCAAATCACCCGTATTTTAATTACAGCGCATCTTACTAGTTCATCTTGACATACCGTTGTGCAACCGACGACCGGGATGCCTATTTGGAAATTTCGTGAACGCACGAGCATCGTAGCACGGTCGATGATGGTTCAAAGAGCTGCATTCCCATGATTCCAGTTCGGCGCGGGGAGGACAATCAGGCATCGCGTCCTGCTTCCCTTGTGTGGATCCAGAGGGATGTCGTCGGACGGGACGGGGACGGTGGTGCCTCGGAAGGAGGTGGTGGACTTCGTGGTGCGGTGCATGGAGGCCGTGGGCACGAAGCGACCCAATGCGCTTGCCATTGCCGAGGTCCTCGCCGAGGCCGATTACAGGTAGGTACCCGCTTTTTCCCTTTCGTACTTGAGGGACACCGAATGTTAGCAGAATCCACATCTATCTCGCGTAAACCAAGCATTGCACTGTTCAGATGCCATGAGGATTTCATATTTTGCTTTGTTTATTTTTGGGGTCGTTGATGTGTATATGATGGGAGGACTCTGGAATATTTCATGACAGGGATTGAAGGGCGAGAACGAGAAGGGCTTCCTGTCATTATTTATGCAACATGGCGATTGGAGGCTTTATCGCATTTTTATCTATGGCAGTAGATGACGTGAAGATGTCGGTGCTTGCTAATCGTCCATGTTGATGCGATGTCAATAGCATATTAAGTGATACAAATTCTCAGTCTTAGGTATTTTCAATTTCGAGTGCTCAAAATGTATAACCATGCTGACCTCCGCTTAAAAAAAAATATTAAGTCAGTACATATTTTCGGGCTGGATATGATAAGCTCTTTATGATAAGCATTAGAGTGCGATTAATGCCGCTCAGTCACGTTTCACATTGTGTCAAGTGAAATATTATTCCACTTGGTACAATACTTTAGCGTGTGAGACTTGGTGTACTCATCCGTGCTTATGTTGAAATTGAAGCTTGGTCATTGCGCGCATATGAAGACAAGTCAGTGGATTCATGAGAATTTTCATTCTGTTTTACAAGGGGTCACTACAGCCACGGATTGAATCGATTAGAGATGTATATCCACGATCTGAAGATGAACATATGTGATGCGAACGTCCAGCCATCCATTCTGAAGGAAACGGCCGCCACTGCCTACGTGGATGGGAACAACGGGCTCGGGCCGGTCGTCGGGAACTTCTGCATGGACCTGGCGATCAAGAAAGCGAAGGAGGCGGGGGTCGGCTGGGTCATCGCGAAGGGGTCGAATCATTACGGGATCGCCGGATGGTACAGCATTCAGGCCATGCAGCAAGGTCTCATCGGGATGTCCATGACGAACACCTCGCCGTTGGTGGCGCCGACGAGAGCCAAGAAGGCGGCGTTGGGCACGAACCCTCTCACCGTGGCGGCACCGGCCAAGGACGGCGACTCCTTCCTTCTCGATATGGCGACCAGTGCCGTTGCCGTCGGTAAGATCGAGATGCAGAAGCGGAAGGAAGAGCCCATTCCCAAGGGATGGGCCATAGGTCCCGGGGGTCAGATGACCACGGACCCGCAGACCGCCCTGATGGGAGCCCTCATGCCCCTCGGAGGCGCCGAGCTCCACAGCGGCTACAAGGGCTACGGGCTGGGCCTCATGGTCGAGCTGTTCTGCGGTATTCTGGCCGGAGGCTCGTACGGCCCGAACGTCCGCAAGTGGATGTCGACCGCGGAGGAAGCGAACCTCGGGCAGTGCTTCGTGGCGCTGAATCCGGAGTGCTTCGCTCCGGGCTACCACGATAGACTGCAGGATCTCATGAACTTCATCCGCAAGATGGAGCCGACCGAGCCGCATAAGCCGGTGCTCATCGCCGGGGACCCGGAGAAGATAAGGATGAAGGAGAACGACGATCGGGGAGGGATTCAGTATCATCCGAACCAGATGAAGGCCTGTGCCAAGTGGGCGCAGGATCTCAAGGTTTCTCCTCCCAAAACAATTGCATGAGCCTTCCCGGTGTTTTTTTTTTCTAGTTCTACGAACTGATGTTAGTAATCTCTAGTTGCAACGTGTGAGATGGCTACTGTGACTGATCTTATTGGTGGGGTAAAGTTACTCGAATGGATATGAACGTGCTGTTTTTGAATAGATAGAACCTGTTCCCAAAGGGCTGTTTTTGAGGACTCTGAACCATTTCACTTTGTTTTGCATGCCTGCGAAAGACAATAAGTATACTGATTGCATTCCCTTTTTCCCTAGTTTGAATGTTATTTCAGACAAATGGCACTGGCTACAAGTGAGATATATTTCCCATTTGGGAGCCGCTGTGAACAGACAAATTCTGATGCCTACTCGTTCCTCCCTATGCCAATACATGAATATTTTTCAGTATAAGTAGATGACAGTTGGTATTTTTCAGTTTCACACATTTGCTTTGAGACATGCATTTCAAGAACAAGCCTGTGTAATACACCATACAAAAGACCTTCCAGTTTGAGCCCTCACGTTGGCGATCGGAGTGGGGCACGGCATGGAAAAAGCGGTTTCTGTGCTTTGTGAAAGTGCATTCCATCTCTGCACCTGTCCTGTTTGTTGTCTATAGTTGAGCAGTTTTGAGCAGTTTTGTAGCTGCCTTAAGAACTCAATTCTGGGAGTGGTTTACGTGACACCAAGATCGAGAGGATGTGACGGCGATGATTGCTCCATCAAGGATCCTCGTCGGTGGTGCCCGTAGGTGAAGGTTGTTGGTGATCTTTCCATGTTGGAATCTGTAGTCTCGTCTGGTTCGTGGTGTTTGTCAGGGATCGTTTCATTCCGGGAGGGATCTGCCACGATACTTGTAAGGATAATTTTTCCCAAAAGAAAGGAGCTGTTTCATGTACCATCGATGAGGGAAGCTGTTATAATGAGGTGCTTACTGTTTTTCTTTTTTTTACTTGTCTATATCTAATATCTTTATTCAAGACATTTCTTTATTGCAAATGCTATACTGCTGAAACAATTCTGGTATATTGGGCAATGATACTAGTACAATTTTACATCTCCCATGGAAGCCTGATGAAGGCAGACAAATGCAATCTAAACTCACATTTTGATGGTTCACAAAGCTGAAAGTAGATATAAGAGAAGGTGATAAGTAGGAGACTAATGACCTTGCAATAATTGTATCATCTTGGCATGTTGATGAATTCAAGCTTGAGCCACTGCCAAATCACACAGGGAAGGTATTGGTCAGTGCATTGGGTACTCCATTCTATGAAGTGCTCTTGAACTTCCTGACGTGTGGCTGTTGAAGTTAGAACCAGTGATCGAATTCCATATTAGAGAAACTATCATCCGGGACATTTCTCATGATTGCCACCTTGATTGTCTACTTTGGTACTGGTGCAAATGCCTGGAGGGAAGTCCACATTAGCGACTGCTTCTTATTGCTTGCTTGATGCTTGACAGGCATTTCATCATCCCCCGGAAAGTCCATCTCTGTTGATAGTCTGATTTATTGATTTACTTTTCCACTTTGTTTTCATTTCTTTGCTGGTTCGTGAAAAGTTCTCTGTGGGAGGATCCTTTTGTTTCAAGGAAAGAGTAAGAGCCTTCAGTCAATGTCAGCATCAGGGAAACTATTATTCAGGGAGAGCTGCTGTGAAAGGGGACTCCTGAACACGTCCCATGTATCATACTGTCACGTATGCTTACACCCAGAGGATTGTGTGGGATTCAGCTTCTAGTTGCGTGTTGAATGTGCAGAAGCATGGGGATGTTGTTATCCTATGGAAATGTTGTCTCTGCCTCCAGTCTGCTTCCCTGTTTTCCAACATATGTTGCAATTTTCTATTCCTTTCTCAGGACGTTTGAGTTGACCTGAATTTCCTTTTTTCCCTGAAGAAAAGAGTGCCTCAGCCTTGAATTATGATTGCCATTAATTTATGACTATTACAGATATGATCTTTATTTTCTTGAAGTTTTCATTGTTTAGAACAAGGAGTCACATGGAGTTAAATTTATTCCAAGGAAAGCTTCTTAAAGCAGAAGTATTACAGGATGGGACTTTTGAGGTATCCTCACAAGACACATTCAAATGACTTGAATGTACCAGTGCTGTTTGTTCTCACTAACTGAGCTTGAACTAAGTCGGTTCTGTTCTGTTGCTTTGCACCATCTTATTCAATGTTCAAGTGCTTTAGCTTGTTAATTTGGACTCTTTTTTTTCTCCTTTCCAAGAATAGAGCAGTTGAAGCAATTCTATATCTTGACTTCTTTCATTAATGTTGTGTTTGAGCTAAACAGTTTTTATGTATGCTGCGACTTTTTCTTATTTCCAAGTTACAAAATTTCCATGAGTGTAATTGTGATTTTGCAACCCCTGTAGACATCGACTCAAGAATGTAGTTCTTTTTCCTTAAGTGTGAAGTCCTATCACAAGACTTTCTCACAGTGGAAAAGTGAAGGGTTGAGTATAATAATGTACCCAAAGTAATGGGAGATCACCTCAAAAAAAAATATTTTTAAATGGAGTCAGGTGGCCTCAGTAACCATTGCAGCACCGTGACCGAACCATTGAACATTGGATGCATAATTATGCTAAACTCTGAACTTACCTTTATAGTATTTTGGTACCGGTGAATGTGTGATCGGGAATGCATCGATACATATCACCTGTGCCTTTGGAGAATTGCCCTTGCTCATGCCCCAATGTGAAAGATTAATTTTTTTCCAGTATTCCAATTCGTTTCTCTTTTGGCATTCTTTTTTGTGTATGATATTTGTTGAATTTCTGGACTCGTTCTTGGATACCGCAGGTATTATAACTGGTCTCCCTGTGCTACTTGTGGTAGTTCCCCTCATTATGACTTGAATTCTGATGTGTTTTCTAAGCATTACTATTGTAACTCAAAAAAAGGATTTCTGAAAGTTCTGTCATGTACATTGCAGGAAGCAGTTACTGATGTTTTCTAACTAAATAAATATGAAGTTCAGGGATAGAAACGGACTTTCTCTCCTAACATTGAAACCTTTCTATTCTTGGTCAAAGGATGCTTCTCTTGCTGACTCAACAAAGCGTTTTTTTGGGGGGGGCACTGAAATCACTCGATTTCAGAATCGCTAACACCTCATCCCGTTCCCGTAGTGAAAGGGTATTACGACCGTTATCAAGGATCTATAAGTTTGTTCGACGTTGTTAAGGCTGTTCCAAAATGGAACAACAACGTTGTTCCATTTTACCCGGTCAAGTTCAGCGAAGAAATGCAGATCAGGTGACCACTTCTAAAAAGTGGACAAGAAATCGAAAGGTTATATTGCTCTCTCTGCAAAGACACAATTTCAAATGTGTTCATAGCTACTCGAAAACACCGCATAGGGAAGCCATGAGTCATATTCTAAAAACTTACAAGAAATCCATTCCATCCCAATTGCTTCAAGCATTAAAGTATTCATCCATGATATTCATAAATAAGACATCGTTCCAAAAAAAAAATATAATATAATATATAAAGAAGAAAAACCTTGGAGGCGCCGGATATCGATCCCGGTACCTCTCGCATGCTAAGCGAGCGCTCTACCATCTGAGCTACGCCCCCGCCTGAGAAATGAAGCACGATGTGATCCTGAATCAGCGGTTGCCTTCCAAGTCGGCCGACTCGAGTCGTTCCTACCCTCCAGTTCTATGCGAAGCCACCTCGGATATATGGTGGCTGACTGCTGCTCGGGGCACTGGCATGACTCCATTTGGAGGATTCCATTCGATTTTTTCAGTGCAGTAAGAATATGTCTGAGAAAATGGAGTTTAGTTTTTCATGTGAAATAAGAATATCATTGAGAAACTCATTTAAGTTAGATTTTTGTGAAAGCCCCTTTGAGTCAAGAAGTAATTTAGAACAACTTTAAAAAAATAAGAAAAAAACAAATAATGGCCAGAGCAGTGCTCCCGTCCCCGTCGGTCTGGCCGGACTTAGACAAATAAGCACTAACAAAAAAGCACATGAAAGAACAACAGCCAGATGACTCCTAAAAAATATCCCGGGTAACCCAGCTTGTATAGGAATAAGAAGCTTGCTGCCTCGATTGACAAATCCTCTCATTTAAGGAAATGCTTACACTTTGTTGAAATATTCATACGGCGAAGCAAATGAAGGCGTGAAAAACGAAACGGCCAAGGAGTCGCCGGGTATCGATCGCAGCACCTCGCAGTATGCAAACCGAGCGCTCTACCATCCGAGCTATGTCCCCGCCTGATAAGCTGTATGTCTCTTCCAAGACGGTACCGCGAGAGGTACTCGTGGTACTCGTCATCGCGCTTCCAGGACGGTATTCGCCTGTGCGAGGCGGGGGGCGTGCAACTCGCTCGACGTCTCAGCCCATTTGGTCTTTGGGCGTGGGTCGTGACGTCACGAGGCTCGGATTCATCCGTCACCCACAGTGCCCATCTGCGTCCAGCCTTATTTCATTTTCAATTTGTGCTTTCCACCTCTTTATCGATCGGTAACGAAGGGGGATTTCTCGCTCTTCCACCTGTTCGCCATGCCTCGAGCAAAATAGTAATGAAATGATACATGAAAACCATTTTTCAAAGGCTTCCCATCACTTCAACCGTTTGACTCACAAAAGTTCGGCCTAACCGACGGTTGAGCCCTAAGCCTTCCGGTCTCGTCGCTATTTTCTGTCAAAAGAAACTCAATTCTTGACTTACAATTAGGCCGCCAAACTCGCTGGTGGTTGCTCGAAGCGTCAATGGCTGAAGCGAGTCGTGCCGGCGTGCGGACAGCGATAGAAGAATAGGAAACAATTCGAACCGGAGGATCGGAGGTCTGCCATGGGGAGGGGAGGGGAGGGAATTTCCATCAGAAATCGGAGATGAGCATTCGTCTCGCCATCTCTTGGACGAACTCGGAAACGAGAGTTGCCGTGGCTCTGGAAAGGGGGTGCCGGCGCGGATCGCTGCGGTGCCTCCGGCCTGCTGCCGGGAGTCCAGGGAATTCGAGGATCCATCGTGAAATACGAGGTGATTCCTCGGCTCGTCGCCGCATGCGTTCACAAGGGCTTTCGCAAATCGCCCCAGTTTCCTCGTTTGTTTCCATGGCTCTGCATGTAATTTGCAGAATTATACGAGCTACGCAAGGAGGTCGGCGAGAGGGAGCGTTTTTTCTAAGTGTTCGATTGTTTTCCCGTATCGCAGTCGCATCGCATTGTTAGATGGCAAAAAAAAAATACTGGCGTAATGTTTTTGGAGCCGGGATCTTGCGAAAAAAGAAAACCACCAATACGGTGATTTACGGATCGTCACTGTGCTGCGTGTTGCATTATTTTCCTTTTCTTCGCCTCCATTCGCTCCATTCACCGATCGAGTGCCAAAGATTATCGCGGATGAAGTGAGACCTGCAGGCATTATGCACATGCCATTGCCCAGGTAGCAAGGGCAAGGACGTTGAACCTGGTTTCAAAAGGGTCTTCGGACATCCAATGGACCCGAATGAGTTCATCCTTTGGTGTCTCTTAGTCTCCAAATATGCTGCATTTGAAGGACATTCCTGGAACATTTCAATTTTTTTTTTCCCCCGAGGCATGTCCATGTGATCCATCTGACATTGGCTTAGAACAAAGATTCGCAGAACCGGCGCTAGATGGCGCCAAAGTCGTCGCTAAACCGGATCAATTGCTGATAACAGCTGGAATTAGTCCCCAATACTTTCCGCGATGTAGCCGATCCTTCTCCACATAAATCAGAGCGGAAGATACTGGAATTCTTTTTTGAATCCGTCTCTAGAGGTAACCCAGTCGAATGAGTTTCCAGAGAACCCTGGCTCGAACGATCGAGGGCGGATGGTTCCAGTTCCAAGGATGACTCCACGCGTCGCGTTCCTGCGACGGATACGAATGGGGACAATGATGGGATTTTTCCTCTCGCTTCTTCGACCAG